GTTTTTCAATAGCTTCAATTTGATATATAGCCCAACGTTCAGTGTTGAGTATTTCTGCTCATAACTCAGAAAAACTAAAATGCACTGGCTTCAATTTCCCCCCCTGAGTTAGCCTTCCAGTTTATTTATAGTTCAATGGCTGCTACTAGCTGCTACCACTGAGCTATACTTATATATCTGGAGATCGTGCTCTCGACGAAAGTGTGTGGCCAAAAACATGGCGGATTTGACGTCACAATCGACCTATTTTCATGGCGGTTTCCACTGACCCTTGGCTCGAATGTCCGTGGGCGACAAAATTCAACCCGATGGAGAGTATTTTGATTTTCGTCCTTTTGAAAATACAGTATTATTCTAACTGCGCGTATAAATCAATAAAGACCGAAAGCCATTAATAAAAAAAGACATGAATGGAGCTTGACGGCCACAAGAACAAAGCATGTAAGTCATTGAAATGATTTATCAATTCTTGTTGTATTGTGAATTTGTGTTGCAACCATTGGTTGCAACTGAACTGACTATCAAGATTATTCTTTAAAACACGAGTATTATAACAATCCCCAGCAAGTAAAATTAAAGTGTTTATGAAACGGCTGAAAAAATTTTCTGAAATTGTGCTGATTTTATAGTTTAAAGTACGCTGAATATCATGCTGTATTTTTTTTTCGCCCCACGATTTTTTAAAGTGGATTTTTTAAGCTACAAAGTTCAGCAATTCGGCTATTTTTTGTCCCGGGGTCTGGACCCGAGTGAAAACAGCGCGTGACGTCACTGGTTGTACACACATGTTGACATTCTCAATATAAACAGTAAAGAACATTTGTATTATCGCGCTGTATAAAATATTTTATCGTGATTTCTACTCTTTTACTATGTCGCACAGCGAAGATTCTCTTAGTTACTCTAGCTTAGAGTATGATAACATAACGGAGAGCAATTTAGAAGGAAATATGAACGTAACGAATTGTTTTGAGCCGTATCAAGGGGAACTATTGCCAGTACAGACGACAGCGAATCTTCTGATGAGGAACAGGACGAAGATTACATTTTGCCATCTGTTTTGGAGAAGCGTTTAGAAAAAATATTCCATTAGCACATAGGTGAGTTCTACAAACAATACTAAGTTACTTTATTATGATTTTCATGCAATATTTCCCTGATATTTGCCTTATTATTTATCTCTGTTGTAGGTGTTCGTGTGGGAATTGTGCCGATCAAAATCTGGCGAGTGTTCAGAGTACTGTTGCTGCAAAGAGATTGTGGAAGTAACTGGAAAATTTACTTGGATTGGCAAGAATGTTGAATACATCCTTAATCATCCTGACTTCAATGCTATGACAAAAGAGAAGTGAAGTTGGGCCTCTTCTATTTACAAACATGGAACTGATGGAAGCTCCCATGGAATAAAAAATGGCGCAGATAAAAGGTACATATACTTCGGTTGTGCATATTAATTCTGACTAGTAGCGAAAGTAAAACAACTTTACAGGTTCTATAAAGATAAATTTGTATTGTTATAGATTCCTCAGAGCAGTGTCATATCGTCGGCTGTTTGGCTTGATGGGCTGGTAGAACACCAGCCCTTGTCACCATGCATTTACCATCATATAATGACTGCATGTATTTTGTACTGGTGATGCTGGTATATATCTGGAGAAGAGCAAGCGGATAATGATAACTGAAGTCACTATTATGTAAATATTTCATAACATAAAACCCAAAGAAAAGTATTATCACCAAATCTGTAATGTGTATTAATGTTTTACATATTTAACTAGAAAATACATGCATGCAGAAACCCTCGCCTTGCTGACAAAACCATTGTATTTTCCGAACATGAAGTATCTAAGTTGTCATGGTAACACGATAATTTTTTAAGAATATTCTTACAAATGAAAAATCGCTTATAAATATCACTTTTAATCGCAAAATTATTAATTTCCCAACATATATATCTTAGGTATGTTATTATACGTGATATAAGCCTCGATTTAAGGTAAAATTCAACCACAAACGCTTCGCAAAGAGTTTTAAAGTCATTAGTGTTCTTTAATATAAAACTAAACTGCCATTTAAAATGGCTTTATCAATAAACTTTGAGTTTGCAATAAAATGATTTAAAATTCTCGCTTGCAAATAAGTTTGCTTTCTTATTTATTTAAAAATTTCAATATCATAAAAAAGGGAATCAATATTAAAGATACACTGAAATTATATGCTGTCTTGTTTAGTTGTTTCATATATGCAAAGGTCGTCGGGTTTTAAATCCATTATAAAATCAATATTTAAAACAAACTTACCTTCGTTAACGTCGGCTCCCTTCTTTTAGCCGATTCTTTCACAGTTCCTTTCTCAGAGAGCTTTTGAAATTTACAAAATCTTGCAAAAAATGCGAGCAAAAATGAAATATATTTGCAAGAAATTTATCAATCATCAAATCAACTCAAGAAATGTTTGCTATTTCGCTGTCGTCATGCAGTCGTTATAATGCAAACTTTAAATTGGACCAATCAGTGTCCGCTATTCGTGACAGTCCGCCATATTTTTGAGATCAGTGAGGAAGACCACCCACCCAACACCGTTGGTGACCCACGCCCGCGATATTTGATGAACTTTAGACTCCGCTAATGCTTTCGTTTCCCCGGGTGTAAATAGCCGGGGGGAATTAGTACCCTCGCACGGCGCTTCGCGCCGTCGGCTCGGGGAAAATCCAGGATTCATAATTAATTGTGTAAACGTTCTCTGGTTAAAAGGATTTATTTATTACTTATTTATTTATTTAGTAATAAATCAATCTTTTTAACCAGAGGACGTTTACACAATTAGTTTTACATATTGCCCACTTTGAGATCCCTTGACTGAAATGTAAATCAGGCTTTAAATTCCCAGCAATTCCTAGCTTATGAGGGGTTGGGGGAGGGGGTACACTGACTGATGCATAATTCTGTTCATACTTATTATATTTCAACAATATATACAACAACCCTCTTAACTATATACAATATTTACAAACAATGAAAATATACAGTAAACAGATCAAGTCTGTGGAGCATCGTGTGGACAATGTGATCGCAGGTGACCTTCATTGGTGCCTTGCACTTGCTACATTGTCTGGCTTTTCTCTTTGGCAGTGGGAGATTTCCTGTTGATTTCCGCTTTTCTGCCTCCAATAATGCTGTTTGTTCTGCAACTAAAAATAATTCATCAAATTATTATATAAGTTATATCAAAAGAATAATAATGTAATTTGTTGTCTGCTTTGTATATGATAATATTTGTGTTGGTGTTAACAATTGTTTGCCAAAGGTGAGGCGATTATCGGGGAATATTCGCAGAGACAAAGTCGAGGTGAATATTCCCCGACAATCACCGAGCCTGAGTCTTGTCAATGGAAAAGCTTAATGGGTTAAAAAAAATTTTTGCCAAGACTTGTCTTCATCTGAAGCTGTATTTACACTACGAGCCTAAGCCTGGCCTAGGTTTGGACTAGATTTGGTAGTGTCGACTTTCGCCGCCACTAGACCACTAGACCATGCACTTCGACCGCCACTAGACCAAGAAATCTGGGCCACCTTTCCTAATGGGCCCAGATTTCCTGGTCTAGGCCAGGCCGAGGTGCATTTACACCACAAAAAACTAGTCCAAAGGTAGGCCAGGCTTAGGCTCGTAGTGTAAACACAGCTTGAGAATTACCTAACTGGCACCCAACATGGTGTGTTTACACCAGAGATACTGTACCTGGCTAAAGCCAATAGAGACCAATTGGCTAGAGACCAATCAAAATAGATCATTACATACACATAACATGAAGTAGTGACTTTGAAGAAGTAAATAAACATAGAAATTGGCTTCGATTGACCTGTATTTAAACTGTTAAAACCATACCAGTGATACCACTTGAAGGCAAACTCAGTTTAACAACACATTCCAAATATTTTATGTCTTTCATATTGACATCTACATATTAAACTATGAAAATTTAGCATGAGAGCCTTGCCTTACAAAGTTTTTATTTCATGTTGTTCACTTGCCTTTGGTGGCGAACTATTAGATGTCCGAGTGTGAATTCCAAGTTTATAGCAACAAATATTACTATTATACATAGTGTAAGCGGGTCTTTATAGAGTTATCTCAATCTGGTTTTTGCCGTGAAGAGTATTGAATATTTAGATTATGTCAAGGATGAATATGTAACAGCTTCAAAATGCCGCAAACGAACAATTTATGCATATATTTACCTGTCTTCTTTCACGAGCTGAAATCGCCTGAACTTGTGGCCCTGAAACAACGCAATCTAGACTAGGTATCGCGCCTTTCTTCAGCCATCTCTTAGTCGTGAATTTTCCGGTTCTTGTGGATTAAAATCAAGCCGTTGTTCAAAATCTGTGACCTTGAAATGTGCTGAGCAAAGCACCGAAGTGCTTGATGGCTGTCATTGCGGACGATGTCTTTGGACAAAACAAGCCCATTTTGGTCGGACAGAACTATCGCTAGGGAAGCGATGCATCGAAATTCCTTCTGTTTTCGAATTGTTTTTGCAACTGACTTTTCCATGTCCGCCTGCAACACAATACTTTCCAAGAGATTTCCCTTTCGCTCGGCTGATTTGAGTCTCGGCCATAACAAATTGACAAATTCACCTTTGGAATGAACGCGCGAGTACAACCAGTGACGTCACGGCCATCAATTTGACCGCGCCGTGAGATGGGACAAACAAAGGTCATAGATGGCACACTTTGTAGCTTAAAAAATCGACTTTAAAGAATCGCGGGGCGAAAATAAAATACAGCATGATATTCAGCGTACTTTAAACTATAAATTCAGCACAATTTCAGAAAAAAATTTCAGCCGTTTCATAAACACTTTAATATGCCATGATTTTGTTTTTCACACAATTTAAATTTCTTAGATTCTTTTCATGACTTTAATATGTTAAAGAGAACTTGGCCTATTGTAACTTAAATTAGACAAACTGTAGGGAGCCCTCATTTTTATACATTCCGACTTTGTTTTGAGTTGTCTCACTCTGTTATTGTAACAAGTTGCGTTCAACGAAACTGAACTCGAAAAGCAGTCTCTTATGGTCAACACAACGTTTTAAGATATTATCCGGAAGCCAGTCATGCACATGTTACGGGTTTTCGTGTTCTTAATACTGCTTAACAAGAGCAGAACAGATGCATTTTTGGAACCAGTGGCGTTGTCCAACGTTCTTGCTGAACTGA